GCGGAGCTCTACAACGGGGTTCAAAGAAAGCCGGCCTAAGGCAACCATGACCTGGGTCCCCTGCCCCAGACCCCTGTGGCTTCAGCATGCCAAGAAGCAGTTACTTTCATAAATCCTAGAATTGAATTATGACGAGCACATGATGCTGCGCTGCGAAGGTTGCAGTATTTATGTAAATGTAGTATCTCCCAGATATTTTGGGACCCTGCCTGGGCGTGTCTTCCTTGCAGTGTTCCGAGAGCCCTAATTCAGGTCAGTGCAGTCCTCCATGCCACTTTCTGGGGGATGCTGTTGATTAGCTTCCCCCACACGCCCCTAACACTCCCATTTAGCAGTGACAGGGTGGGCTCGGAGAGCCGCCTGGGCACTGGGGTCTGGCAAGTGCTCTGGCTGGGTGGGCCTGAAGGACTAATTTTCAAAGTTCCTTAGGCCACACAGGTAGGGAACTGGGCTCAGGCCTCTGTAGAGGCTTCAAGAGTCCCCTTGGTCACCAGGACCATTTGGAAGTGGGCAAAGGCCCAGAAGAGTCTGGGCAGATTCCCACACTTGGATACGCGCGCACACACACACACACACACTTCTTTTGGGGGGGGGATCGATGAAGTGATTTTCTTTTTATATCCTTATCGTTGTGCAGATTACACAAGACACATGGGTCTGTAAGTTTCAAACCCTGTAGAAATTAAGTGATGAGAATGCCTTTTCATTTTACTCCACACACTGCAGATCTATTCCTGTCGTATTCTTTCAGTTTTTTCCCAGCATACTGCATTAATAATAAAAATGGACTCAGACTATCATTATATTCTGCTTTTTTTTTTTAATCTTAATATATTCTGGACAGCTTTCCAGGTCAGACAAAATGCTTCTCCTCAGGGGTTGCATAATATTCCACTTTATAGATGGGCGCACTTTCTTTTTGGGGGTCCCAATGCAGCATTTCCCTCCCAATTTACAATATTCCCAGCCCCCCTTTCAACTTGGATCCCCAATTTCTTTGCCACAGGCATTTTTGTCACATAGCTAGTTGGCCGCAAGGAAATTCGGCCCAAAAGAGAAAATAACTGGCTGATAGCATGGTTTCAACTGGTGCATGATACTAGAAAATGATAGTACATCAGCCTGCAAACTCGTGGGTGGGTACCGTCATTCTCTCATCCATCAACACCTGAAGTTTACCAAGTTATGGCAAATAGAAGAGAAGGCTAGTAATTCCCAAGCCTTCCAGAGCACGGGTTCTTCAGCTTTTTCAGACACAGGCACGCGTCTGGAGGCTGTCGTTACCAAGTTAAGTGCATCAGGTACAAGTTGGAGGTAAAAGAACAAGACTCGTCATAACCCCCCCCATCCCCCTTTGGCCGTCCCCCTCCCCCCAAAGAAATGGTTATGTGAAGCCTGATGACTACAGATTCCTTCAGAATGGTGAAACTCTTTGGCTATCTCTTAGCGGAGAACACTGCAGACCACTTGGGGCTCTGGCCCGAAGCTGGCGCGGGCGACGCGCAGGCGCGGGCTCCCGCACGTGGGCCGCGTGCCGGCGCCTCCGCGGCACCTTCCGGCGGAAGGTTTCCCTGTGGAGAACCGAGGCCGCCGGTGGAAGCCGAGTCCCCAGCCGACCACCTCAGTCTCAGAGAAACTCCCGGACGCACACTGACTGTGCACCAGTTTCTGTTCCCTTTTACGACAAAACTGCCTTACGGCCAGGTAGTTTTTCGCGGTGGGAAAAGTGCCGGAAAGGCCTCAGCGCGCAGCTGACTGGAGCGGCGTCCAGTGAGCGGCGGCGTCGGCCGAGGCGAGGCTCCGAGTCCCGCGCCTGCCCTCGGCATCTGGAGGGCCCCAACCCAGGAGCGGCAGAGTGCGGGTAGGCCCCAGGGCAGGGCCTGCCACCCCCAAACAGGCCCCCCTGCGGGGTCCCCGCAGGGGTCTGGGGGACAGGTCCACGTCGCGCAGGGCGGGCAGGCGGGCGGGCGGGAGGCAGAGGGGCCGGACGGGGGCCAAGGGAGAGGGGCGCGGCCCTCCTGTCCCACTTCTGCCCCTTTGGGGACTCTGCGCCCCTGAAGGCCTGACCTTGGATGACCGCCAAGACGGGGTCTGGGAGCGACCAAGGGGTCCAGACGGGAGAGAGGGGACTGACACACGGGGTTCTGGGGTCCCCCCACGGACCCACTTTGCAGTGTGAGTTTACGAAAAGAACTTGGTAGAGTTGTTCTGGAACGCTCGGAGTCCAGTTTCTGCACCGCAGACTGCGCCGCCCTTCCTCGCTGCGAGGTTAGGAGCCTTTTCAGCTCTTGGCGCCAGCCGGGGGAGGAAGACTGCCGCGGTGTAGAGAGCAGCTGGGGAGGGGGACCCCCCCAACCCTTTCCTGGTCTCTGTTTACAGCACACTGGAGGGCGGGGCAGCCTCCCCTGGAGCCTGCGGTTAATTGGGCCCCTAATTGGGCCCCTGTGGCCACACCGCAGGCAGGTCCTCCAGGAGCGGAGGACTCAGTGTGGCGAGAACCCCAAGGTGAAACACAAGCTAGGGCTAGCAAGAGGGGTTCCAGTGAGGGCCGGGAGCGCTTGGGTGTGTGTGTGTGTGTGTGTGAAGTGGTGGCTCCCTGGCAGTGTTAGGGAGGGTCACGGTAGGAAGGTCAAAGCCGAGGCACACAGCAAGGTGCCTACAGCCTCATTTTGGACCTATGGCAGGGATTCTGGGGTGGCTGTACCCTCAGCTTCGTAATACAGACTAAGTGCAGACCTCGCTAGCATTTTAATGCCAGTTGCCCTCCTTCTCTGAAAGGCCCCCACACAGGAGGGGACAGAGAGGGCACTGAATGCCTGGTGGACATGGAGGCAAGAAGAAATCTAGCTCCCTTTTCACAGAGGAGAAGGGGACAGCCAGAGGTACAGGGAGTGGCAGGGCTGTGTGGGGGTGTCTTCAAAGACTCCTGAGTCCTTCCTACCTCAGTTTGGGTATGTTGTAGCTAACCGAGGGCCCCTTTCTAAATGAAAGGAATTGCCCATCACCTTGGGGCTGGGGGCTTTTCTGTGGACCAGCAAGAGGAAACTTGTACCTCTCATCCAGAAAAACCCCTCTTGCAGCCCCAGCAGGTGTTCAGGACCCAGAGTGGGGTAAGTGCTGGTGACCTTGCTATATGACCTGGAAGTTTCTCACCTGTGCTGCCTCCTTGCCTGCAGGAGGAGAATCCTCATCTGCCTGGCAGCCTCGCAGTGCGGATTCAAGCAGGTGCACTTATATTTTGAAGAGCACAAAGTCTCAGATAAATGGAGGGATCTGTAGGCTTAGCAAGAGTGCTATTGGTTGTCCCTGCTAAAACAGGGGGGAAGCAGGGCTGCAGAGTCCTCTGTTTACAGCTGACTCATCTGGCAGGAGACTGGGCACATAACCTTGGCCACTTGGTAACTTTCCTTGAACCATGCTAGTCTCTGGTGCAGATAAACTGGCAGGAGCATCCTCAGGGAGTGTGTATGTCTGTCATCAAGAATACTAAGCGGCTGCAATCTTCTCACAGCCCTTTCACCAGGGGAGTGTTATGGCACCAGCAAGGGGCTGGAATTACCACCTCTCCTTGGACCCATTTTACAGATTTACAGACCTGCCCACCTCCCTTAGTAATTCATGGGCTGATCATGGTTCTGACCTGGGTATCACATGCCCAGTCCTCTGCCCACCTCTGACCCCCAGCTTTCTCAGAGGCTCCAAGAGAATTAAACTTCATGTATTAGCCTCCCCAAGCTCTAACCTGTGCCTTTCCAAGCACTCAAGATAGAGGGCCTCAGTTGATCCAGTCAGCCCTGCCCAGACCAGGAAGGGAGGAGGAAAGAATCGAAGAAGCCACCACTGATCCTCCCTCTGGTTCCCAACCCCCACTCCCATCAGTCCCAGGATAAACACACTAAGCCACCAAACTGCCAGTGGGCTGAGATGCCAGGACATTCTGGATGCCCACCCCAGCCAGGTGCGCACAGACGGAAGTTATTATTTGGGGTGGTGGAGAACTCATCAAAGGGGATATTAGAAGCCTTGGATGGGGGAGATGAGTCGCTCCTTTTATGTCTGAGTCAGACCACCGTGGACTCTTGGAGCCCCAGGGGTAGGGACCACTTCCACAAGTCATTTTGTCCAACCCATGTTTTTTTGGCAAACCAATGCCAAGACCACCTGGAGCAGTGGCTGCTCACTGAGGCATTTGA